CCGTACATCCCCTGGTAGTGGATGGACATACGGGGTGGCACAAACTCAGTGGGACCATCCTGATGGAACAGATAGAAATCAGTAAGGTATTATTTGGGGGGCTACTCAGCGAAAAACAAAAGTTAAGAATCTTACCCTCACATCCTCGGCTGGCACGGGGGCTGGAGCTAACAAAGGAAGCAGCTCCTCAGCATAACTCCGCCCAGGATCACATGGGACCGCCAAAGAGAACAAGGCTCCTCAGCCATGCTCGACAACTCTCTCTCGTCAAACATGTGGCGTGGTGGAGGAGCAGGAACGACAAAGGCATCGGAAGAATGTTGTCTAGCAACTCTCTCTCCTAAGTACGCAACCGCTCCGTAGGTCCCCAGTAAGTAACGGCGCTCAGCAGAGTACTGTGCAGCTAATCCAGGGACTGTCCAACCGCCCCATGGCCGGTATACTACCTCAGGTCCCTATAAAAATACCAATCGGGTAAGAACATGTCTAAAACGTCACAAAAGAGCAAGATAAACACCAAAAATCGTACCGAGATGATCCGACTCCGGACACGTGCAGTAGAGAGGTCCACATGGTGGCCGCCCCAAGAGGCGCTCACCGGATACCCCCTCGGCGATGGCCTCGCCGGCGCAATGGAAGGAAAGTATTCATAAAACCAGATCTACAAAAAAGCTAAAGCATGAGTAAATGCTTACTAAACATATAGGGCTAAACTTTATAGGGAATAATGTTTACCTCTACGACTTTCCAGAAAGCAGACAAAGCAACATTTGTCCTAAAAGACCGGTGGCGACACGAGTCCCACAGTGCGCGAACGAAGTCAGTATAGGCCAAGCTGGCCCAGTCATAAGTCCCGATCCGCTAGAGATCGCGAACAGCAGGGAGATAGTAAAGCAACGCCCTACTACCCCTGTCAGGGGAGAATGTCCCTGACAACAACATCAGCACAAAAATGCGCACCCGCTGCTCTCGGGTGGTCGCATTGTCATCAAGAGCCGCTGCCAGCGTCGAGCGACGGATCCCTCTAGCACTGAACTGAGTCGTCTCGACCTCAGCTCGGGCATGAACAACAATCGGCCCCAGCAGTTCCTCGACCTCTGGAGAAAAGACGTCGATACCGCCGTCAAATGGCAGCGGCACAGAAGAGAACTCCAGTCCTGTGATGAGACTGAAGTCTGTAGGAGTGACCATCATCTCACCCCATGGAAAATGAAAGGTGTTGGTGGTGTCCCAAAAGAACTCCACTAGAGCGCGTACTACGTGGTGACCCCCGCTGGAGGCAACCATAGCCTCGAAGGTCTCAAACAGGGCAACCAATCCGCAAGACTCCCATAGGAGTCTCGTCTCTCGATCTCTGGCGATATGCATCCTATACAAATCGCCTAGGCCATCGCAGCCAGAGCCGTGATGTCGTGTCCTCCCAGGCTCGGTTCCCCGTCTCACCCTCTCAGAAATGTGGTGGACAGGAGCAAAGAACAAGGTCTGCTCATCCCACTCTGGGAACTGACCAAGCGAAGTGGACGGTGTGGAGTCGTCCTCCACGGGCTCATGCTCCCGTCTAGTGCTTCGGGACCGTGAACTTGAGCCTCGTTGTCTAGCCATGCTACATTGTGCAGAATCATCATTTATCAAGGTTCTATAGTATCTAAAGGTTTGCCTAGCCGCATGATACTATGTTCGCAAAAATAGAGTACGTAGTACTAAAACAGAGCACAAATTCAAATTGAGCATGACAACATTTTTTCAAGCAATCAAACAATTTCTTGCAACACCATAGTGATTGTTGTGACAAATTGAACAAGAATTGCTAGAAAAAACATCAAGAACGAGTCACATTGTTTTTCACGACCTTAGAAGGTCCAACAATGGCGGATTGCTCATTTCTTCGCCAAATTGAGTCAAACAAGTCTCAAATTACTGCCAAGGCAATATACAAACATAAACAAGCAATTTCATGGCATAAAACTTGATAAACAAAGCAAATTGAGCATTATGAGTTTCGAATTCTCATGAAATTCGTGAATGAACATGCCAAAAAATTCATAAAAAACCGATGTGAGTTGGAGGAAAACTTACATAGATCGGGAATATGGATGAAAAGAGCTTTGATTTGCAACAAATTTGAGCGAATTCGGTTGAGAAACGAATGAGCAACGATCAATTGAAGTTTCGACTTCTTTCGAGCAGCGTTCGCAACAAACCAGAGCACGAAATGAACTGAAAATGGGAATTTAAAGTGATTCCCGTGCTGGCGCCAGTCCCTAGGCATTGGCGTCACATTCTGTGCTTGGCGCCAGACGCCAATTTCAGCGCATGGCGCCAATGCCATAGGTCTGGCGCTGATTGATTTTCAGCGACGCCAAAGCAGCCACCCACCTTTTGGGGTTGTGCTAGCCTTCTGCAATATATTTTGGGTTCCTTGGTACGCCAGTTAGCCTCTCTAAGCAATTTGACATGATTAGGTAATCGGCTTGATTACATGAAGTGATCGACCTGATGAAAAGATCGTCTCACTAAGATTAAAGCGCCTAAGCATTGGCTCATTAGCAAAAAGCACCGACATAAAGGTTCATTAGCAAAAGGCACCGACATATAGGTTCAAGAGAAAAGAGCGCCGACGTACAGGCATAGCAAAAGGCAAGTTCAGGCGAACTTTTAGAGATCGACGGGCGTGGATCTTTGGTATTTTCCTTTGGGAAATTATCGCATCAAATGAGGATGACTTCAAGAGAAGATGTCTTCGACATCATTCCCTAGCTTGCGGAAAGTTTTCACAAACAACTGAAGGTAATTTCGGGCGAAATTGTTTCGATCATAGTTCCTGAGGCATGGAAGATGATCATAATGCGGATGAGAATTATTTCAAGAGAAATAATTTTCGATGATATTCCCTAAGACGTGGAATATTATCATTGCGGAGGAAGGTAGTTTCGGGCGAAGAAATCTTCTAATCTGGAAGCAGTTACGAGGCGTAGCGGTTTTCAAGCGGGATGGCATTCTCCAGCTTGCAGGAGGTCGTCAAAACAATAGCAGTAGCAGCAGCAATCGGTTACTTTTAGAGACGTGTGCCCGACGGTGCAAGATACTCGTTTCTTAACTCTTTTATCTGTTTAACTAACGCTAGTTTGCAGGTATCGGCGTTATATGATTGATTTAGGATCGCAGAACGTTCTGAATCATTCTCCGTCCCTATCGATACTTTGACTTTCGTTTTCAAAACTTGCGTTTCTCCAAACTCAGTCAAAGTGGGGGCTTCTGTAGACACCCATTTGTGTCTCCCCAAAACCAAACCCAGTGATAAGTGCCTTTCACATCGAATCATAATCGAATGAAACGAAAGTGTGGAAAGGTCTAGTGTTGCAGAAAGTTTAATTTCTTTTCTTTTCTTTTCTCTTCTCTCTGTTTTTGAAAACTTTATTTTAAGAAAACAGCCAATCCAGTTTGGTTGGTCTATGATATAGGTCCAATAGTGGTGTAGTTGGATGGGGCTTGCAAAGACCTTTCCAACGATATATTATAAGCCCAATTCCGATGGATATTGAGGAATTTATGGCCAATTTACTAAACTGGGCCTGGTTTGAGCTTTAAGTACGGCCCAATGATCTAGGGGAGGGCCTAATATGATTTATCATTCCTAATGTAATTAGGAATGGTTTTGGTCTTCTAGAACATTCTAGAAGGTCTTATCATTCTTAATTCTATTAGGATTCTTCAGAGTTTTAATTAGATCAACTAGCCTGAAATTATATTATTTTATCTTCCAGTACGGTAAAATTATCAGATTTTCGAAAACGCGTTAAAATCCGGTTTGGCGTCCAACCCCAGGCCTTGGCGCCTGGAACCAGGACTGGCGCCAGCCATTGGCGCCAATGAGCCAGGGCTGGCGCCAGCCATTGCCGCCAATGAGCCAGGGCTGGCGCCAAGTTAGTTTTATGATCTTCAGACTCTGTTTTGATAAATTATCTTTTTTGGATGTTTTTGTCTATAAATATCGTATTAAAAACTTCGTTTTCATTCAAGGATTATTAATATTCAATAATCATCTACATCTATCGTTCACCAATTCTTAAGTTTTAATAAACTCCGTTTTCATTCATCATCTACAATCATCAATCGTCAACAATTACTTTATGAATCATTAATCTCTTAGCATTCTTTCAAAACTTTGCTCTTTAATACAAAATTCCGCATTCACAAGATCTTGATACACCTAGCCATATTCGAAGTTGCCTTCGCCCTAGACGTGAAAGGTTTTAATTTCTGAGGAAAGAGGTACGAGGCATCAAAGTAAGTACTTTAATTGGTTTAATTGATTTATGATGTAGATATCATGCTTAGATTGTTATTTATGATTCCTAGTATCATGTCTAGGGTATCTTTAATATCAAGTATGATTTAAAAGTATGATGCTTCCTATGTTCTTCCTAATGTTTATGATTATTATGATGATTATGATTATTTATTATGTTGCTTGATATGCATATTATTTTATATTGTTATTGCTTGATCACCTTTATTGCAGGTTAAAGGGAATTGGTATTTATAATCACGCTTAATAAGATAATTAATAATATTGTTTAGGGTTAATTGTGATTATAATTTCAAGTGATCACCAATAATAGATTTATTTGTGCATTATATTCAAACAACATAGATTAAACAGGTTTAGGGTTAATCCTATTGTATGTTAGTCTGAAAGCGCACATGAATACGAGCAGAATAAAGTAGAGGCCTATTATTAGGGCAGGTTCAATCTCTTTTAGGTTGGATTTGTACCATCATCCCCGAACCCTTATTTGGTTCATGACCTTATGGAGTTGACGATCTCTTGGATCGTTAAGGGGTGTAACCTTCACCTCGTGAACGGTTTACAAGTTCCTTAAAAACTTGTTGGCGACTCTTTTGCTCTATCTTCTTCCCTTTTGGACGCCACCGTACTTTAGTGTATGATCACAGTGGGGTTCAAGCTAGTGGGATTTTTAAAGGCTTGAAACTATTCCCTACACAATGCATTTGTTCTTATTCAATCTCAATCTTGTTTCATTCCAAATACTCATATTAGTCAATTGTTCAACTCTATTCTCATGTAGTTTGAGTTTCTCGCTCAAATGTTTCCAATCATTCACTCCATCATTTGCTAAAAGAGTTTTGTTATTTTGAGAAGTGAACAATTTACAACAAAAACAATATACTTTATCAACATGTTTTGAATAAACCAACCATTTTCTATCAGAAGTTTCCCCATTACTCAACTTTCTTATAAAATAAGAATATGAAAAACGCCTATAAAAACTATCGATAGGAAATGTGAGATTTAATTCTCTTATAGGTCCTTTTTCAATCAAAATATCTCTAGTTTTAGCATCAATTAAACCCCAATTTCTAGGATCATAGATATCAAAAGGAGGGATAAAGTGTTCATTAATACCCACATCAACATTTGGCATATCATTAGGAACATCAACATTTGGCACATCATTAGGAACATCAACATTTGGCAAATCATTAGGAACATCAACATTAGGCACATCATTAGTAACATCGAAAATTGGCTCATCATTAGGAACATCAACAATTGTCACATCATTAGGAACATCGACAATTGGCACATCATTAAAATTATCATCATTATTCAAGTAATTCGAAGATTCTTCCACTCGACTATTACAAAAAAAATTATCTAATGCTCCTCTTTGAGATTCAATCAAATGTTGGGCTCGTTTTCTTTTTTCCCTTTTATCATGTCCGGATGCATGTTTTCTCGAAAATATTATTAAAATAAATAATATAATAAAAGTTAAAGAATAATATCACCGAATCTCGCAAGATGCTAATAGTAAATCCGAAAAGTCCAAATATCGGCAACACCTACAATAACATAAAATTATAAATTCAGTACACTTGAATAATACATTATTTAAATATATCATTTACCACTTAACAATTAAACATATGGACATATGGTGAATTTGTAATAATATCATACACTGATACACTCATAATTTATTAATCCATAAAGAATTAAAGACCATAATTAAAATCTATCAATCGACATTTCACAAAAAATGTGATACTAATAACTTTTTTTTTTGGGTAGAGATACTGATAAAGTGATAAGATAATTCATAAATTCATAATTAAAAATTATCATTTGACAATTTGATAATTCATAATCAAATATCATATTCATAATTCAAGCAAACTGATAATATAAGAACTAACTGGAATTCTGGAAAAATGTATTTCATGTAGCATCTTTAAATTTCTTTAAATTGAATTATTCATAAATTAAAATAGATTAATTGCTTTAAATTGCTGGAAAAAAAATTAAATTTAAGAACTTACTCGTATGATTTCAGAAATCTCAAGAAATACTCTGATACTCCGTACTCGTATGATTTCTGAATTCTGATTTCATCTTCGAACATCGAAGCCAAACTCCATAATAATGGTGAAAAAATAATAGATACAAATAGAAAAAGTGATTAAGAAAATTGATAAGTGAAGAACAATTAAAAGAGTATAATTTATAGGAAAATTCTTAGACTTTGATCCCGTTGAAAATTGATTGCAAAGATGAACGTTTATGGGGGAAATCATCTTCTTAGAATTAATTTGGGAAAGAAGATGAAAAATCAGAAAAATAATTGATTTCAGGAATGAAATTGAAGATTATACGGTTGTATTTGGGTAGATTATAGGAATTAATTTGGCAAATTCAACTTCCCAAAGATGAAGGGGCTATTTTCTAGGAGGAATTAATTTGAGGGGATTTTTGTGGGAATAAATTGATTGATTAACTTGAAGTCTGGAATAAACGCCGCTTATTTCGTATAATCAGTATTTTTTTTATATATATACGAATATGGGTTTCAAATTTTGGGGCCCTGGGCGGGCGCCCTAGCTGCCCCGGCCCAGATACGGCCCCTGCGTGGACAGCAGCAGCAGCACACACATCGGGGTGGTGCACTGCTGCGCTGCCCCCTGTCCGACCCGTACCCAGCCCACCCTCCCTCCTGGACCACCACCGGTGCGGCAGTCGCCGTGTTTGCGCCACCCAGTCGCGGCTGCCGTACCTCAATGCCTCTTTAATTTTTTTTTTTAAAATTTAAAACAAAACATTTTTATTAAAAATAAAATTAATGTGGTCTATCTAATTTTAAAATTAAATCATATTCAATTTTAAAATTAGGGTTCTTCATGAATTTAATCCCAATTCAATTTAACTTTTAAATTAAATAGGTTGATATGAAAAATTCATAATTTAACATGAAATCAAATAGATTAAATTCTTTAAACATGAAACTTTCGAATTAAATCAAAACCAAAAACACAAATTTCATAAATTGGGGTTAATGATTTTGAAATTTTCGAATATTAAGGGGGGGGGGGTTCGAATTTTTTGAATATTATAGGGCTATTTTCGGATCAATTTAAAGCTAATATGGAGCAAATTAAACAACTTTAATGATTTTATATTGTTAAATCACATTTAATATAATAATTGACCCATAATTAAATTATTCTCCCTCCTAATTGAATTAAAATTGTGGATTATCAAAGGGTTAATACTCAATATATGTAATTGCAAGAGGCTAACTGATACCACTGTAGGGGATTATAGGTACTACGCAGCGGAAATAATCATAAATCATATTCATATAGCACTTAAACAAGGATCTCATGCATAACACATAAAGAGTAAGAATAATACCTTTGAAGCGTGATTCCACAAGTGATCGAACAAGAACAATAAGGAGAACAAGAACCCCACGTGTGATTCCTCTACTTAGTCCACGAGCACGGATTAAACCTCCACTAATGCTAGTTAGTCGTGACTGAACACTTCAATCAACCTTCAATGGAGATCCGAGCCACGAACACACCACAACACCACCCACGCGCCACCACACGCGCCGCCCACAAGGGAGAGCCGTACGGACAAGGAGGAGAGAAAGAGGGCCGAGTAGAGAGAGAGAATTAGGGTTTTGGGATGCTTCGTTGCTTGTGTGACAATTTACTGTATGTCAATTGTTATGTCATGCAACCCTAGGCATGGTTTATATTTATAGATCATATCTAGAAATAAAACCATGTCAAGTCCAAAACCCATTAGACTCTTCTAACTATCCAAGCCCAATCATCAACATGGTATTTCATGAACTCATGAGGCCCAATAATGGGCCTCTAACTTTTTTAACCCAATACTCTTATGTGTGACCTTGTAGGATCCATTCTATAAGGCTTTGGGCTATTAAGCTAGCCCAAAGATCAATTTTCATATCTAGCACCAAACATTGACGACCCTATAGAATGAACTTATTATCTCCATAATAGTGATCCTTGATATATCTAGTAATTGCACTTATCGAAGACATAACTCCTTCAGAGATTAATGAGGAAAAATGCAAAAAATGAAAGTGTATGAAAATATGGAAAAATTATACTCATTTTATACAGAAATTTTTTTTTATGACCGTTGGTGTTTTGGTTTTTTGAAATAAGTTACCATTAACAAAATATAGCCGTTTTAGAGACTTAAGTCACAAAAAATATGTGACCTCTAAAGTTGTGACAAGTGTCACAACTTTACTTGTGCTTGCTTTGACAAATTACCGTTTTTTTTGTAGTTGTTTGGCATTTTGCTCCCAACGATCACTTTTTTCTTCTTTTTCTTTTGTTTTCTTCTTTACATTTTGGCACGTGGGTCGAGGCTTGGTTTCCTTTTCACGGAAAGGAAATGTTGGTTTCCTAATCAAGATAGGATCCTTTTAGCAAACCCAACATTTATGAGGAAGCTAAAAAGTACATAAAAGGAGAGTAAAAGGATAGATATCCTCTTGAATTCTGGTGCTCTTAATAAAATATATATATCGAGACTATTTAGATAAGATATCACAAGACTATATTTTATCGTATCTATAAATCACAAAAGCTAGTCAAAGTGCAATGTGTGAATAGTGTAAAAATCAAACGATGTCAACTAAAAAAAAAACTAAGAAAGTAAAATTTGGTTTGTGGAAAGATTTAAACACGGCTTGTTGGCTTGGTTTAGTTAGAAAAGATTCAAATAAGGCTTGTTGCGTTGTTGGTTTGGTTTAGTGAGAAAGTTTTATTTTAAAACCACAAATTTGTGGAGTCAAACCCCATTTAAACAACTTTATGATGGAGATTTTTTAACCCTTTCCCCAACTCCTAAAGGCTAAACCATGAATTTGTGGAATCAAACTCCACAATCATTGTCTTCCACTTCCTATTGGATCGCTCAACCAAGGGAGTGCTTTTTACTTTCTCTACAAATAGATGGTTCAAAGATACTCACCAAGTCACAAAGCTGAGATGGGATGGTGTTCGGATAATGGTGACCTGTTGGATGATCGAATCATTAGCAAAAGTAAGTTGGGGGTTTTTACATCAACTTCACTTGTAGAGGCAATGTCATGCATATATGGGTTTCAATGGGCTTTGGATAAAGGTTTTAGAGAATTTAACACTCCCTATGATACATCATGTGAACTTGGTAATAATTGTGGAAGGTATGTTACATAATTAGAGTATGCTAGTGCAATAAGTAGCTTGAAGTTGTTTGATTAGCTAGTCTTTCTCTTTTTTTTTGTTCTTTTGTTTCAGCATTTGCGTTGTATAAGGGTGTTGATTGTTTGGCTGGACTTATGTTGTGTTTTGGTGGGTGGCCTTGCTGTTGGACTTTACGAAATTGCATGAATCATATTCATAAGCATCTAAACACCAAGATCAATGCATAACACATAAAGAACAATTGATAATACCTTTGAAGCGTGATTCCACTGGCAATTGAGCAGGAACAAACAGGAGACAAAGAGTCCCAAACATGATTTCTTTACTTAGTCCACGGGCACATATTAAACCTCCACTAATGCTAGTTAGTTGTAATTGAACCCTTTCAATTAATCTTCTACGGAGAAGAGAGAAACACTAATAACCACGAACCACAACACACGCCACCTAGGGTGGCCGGCCGTACGGACGAGGGGGGGAGAGAGATGGGTCGTGAGAGTGAGAGTGAGAGAGAGAGAGATTAGGGCTTTGGGACTTGGTTGCTTGAGTTACAATTAACTGACTTGTCAATTGTTATGTCAATCTAAGTCATGGATCTTATTTGTAGATCATATCTCTAAATCAGAGTCAATGTCAAGCCCAAACTCCTAATCCTAATCAAACAGAGCCCAACATTCCTTATGGTTTTTCATGATCTCATGAGGCCCATTAATGGGTCTCTTACTTGTTTAACCTAATACCCTTGTTGTGTGACCTCATAGCCTTATAGAATCCATTCTATTGGGCTTTGGACTATTTGACTAGCCAAAAGATCATTTATCATATCTAGCAACAGACAACGACGGCCCAAAAAATGAACTTATTATCTCCATAATAATGATCCTTAATATATTTAGTAATTGCACTTATCTAAGACATGATTCCTTCATTTGCTTGGCCTTATAGTGGGGACAAAGTGAGGAGAATCCTTTCGGGTGATGAAGCATATTCATGATGGGCATGAGTGAAGAGCGAATCATGTTTAGTTTCCATAATAATATGATGTGGTTTATTGGTTTGATTATCATATATTTTGTTTGTGAGACTAACGCAAGGGTTTTTAATATTTAATTCGGTTTTGTTAAGGGTTTACAATGGTTCCAAGTTGTTGGTTGACTTTGTTTGACTTTACTTTCGTTGGTTTGACCTTTAAAGTTGACTTGTTTGGAATGGTTTTAAAGATAGTATTTCGCTGTGTGTCTTTGATAATTGTCTTAGCCGTTTTCACAGTGGCGGTAATGTCTTAGATTTTCCTATTTCGTATTTTAAAAGGAGGAAAACAAGTATTTTAAAGGAAATGAATTTCTAGGTTATTACACTCAAAGTTCACTAGCAATCTTAGTACAAAACATTGGCATGCAATGGGTAGAGTTTTTGATTACTTAAAACAAACTAAGAAATATGCCTTGCGTTATGGAAATTTT